GGAACACGCTTTAGGGTTGGGCAAACCTCTCTGCCTCACTCCCTTCGTAGCTTCATGAAGTGTCTAAGGAGTGATCTTGACCACGCTTTGGTGTCCTCTTTCTTCCTGCGTGGGAGCTGTTTTCCCTTTCTCCTGGGAGGCTGGGCCTTCTTCCTTGTTGGAAGAAAGGAGGAGGTTGTTTGGGATATGGCAACTTGTGGGCTCCAGGGCTTGGAAGGCTTCAGATCCTCCTCTTTGGAGGTATTTGCAATGGTGTCACCTGCCCAGGAGAGGGAGCCTGGAGCTCACACTTGGGTGCTCCCCAACCCGGGAGGCAGCAGCCCAGGTATGCGGTGCCCTTAGATGTGGTCTGGGGCTCAGACTCTCCCGGCTTGGAAGACAGCAGAGGAGCCCTGCCACTTCCCTCTGTCTGCTCTGGCTTGTCTTCTGGATCCCAGCCCAGTTGCTGTTGTGCAGACATGAATATTTCCCCTGTGATCTTCCCTGCCAGAGTCTGCCCCACCAAAATCAGCTCTGCCCCCTGCTTTCAGCACATGGATTTTACCCCTGGGCTTTGTCTTGCAACTGGGCTGTGTCCTGGACATCTGATGTCTCCTTTCCCCATGCTGAAGCAGATCCTCCAATCTTTGGCTCCAGATGGGGTTTGAGATCATCTTTGGGAAGCCTTTTTGTAGTTGAAACTGATATGACTTTACCAGGAGATGGCTGTGCTGTGGATTGCACAAACGTAGCTCACCAGATAACGTGGATGAGCTTGGCTTCATCCCACCGATTCCCCTTAGAGCAGCCAATTCTGTTGGCTGTTGTGTTGATTACTGTGCTGACTCAGCATCCTTGCTTATGTAGGGCTGTCCTCCAGCACCCCAAAGGGAATTCTGAGCTCCTGAGTTGATGGCACTGCCTGGTGTTTCTGCAACACTTAAAAGGGTGTGATGCCCTTGGCTGGATAAGGGAAAAAAAAGAGATAGAAAACTCCCCCCCAGTGAATTTAACAGATGAGTTTAGGGCTGGTTGTGACTCTGGCGTAAGAATAACTTCAGAAATGAGCCCTGAGGAGGGGGCTGCTCCTTCAGATGAAGTCAGTACTTAGGGGGTAGTATGGTGGAGGGGGAAGGATGGGTGCCAGGGCAGATCTGGGTGTCCCAAATCAGTGTGACTATCTCAGGCGTAGCTCAGCTTCCATCGATGGAATGCAGGAATTATTCTGCTGCATAAAATCATTGCCCTGCTATGCTGTGGCTTGACATCCACAGTTGTCAGTGGGGAAACTGAGGCACAGAGCAGCGACGTGACTGAGATAGTGAAATAATGAGTCAGGTCCTCTCCTGGATCCTAGAACAGTGAACTGGACCCAGCAGTTTAATTTCCTAGTACCCTGCTCTGGCCTTGGGGTTCTCTCCCAGTCTCCTGGGAGGTGAAGGCTCAGAAACAGGAAGAAAAAAAAAAACCCAAATGAAATAAAATTAAAAAAACCCCAAGCAAACAAATAAAACCACCCCAAACACTGCAGTTGTCAGTGGGGAAACTGAGGCACAGAGCAGTGACGTGACAGAGACAGTGAAATAGTGAATTGGATCCTTTTCTGGGTCCTTGAACAGTGAAATGAACCCAGCAGTTTAATTTCCTAGTACCCTGCTCTGGCCTTGGGGTTCTCTCCCAGTCTCCTGAGAGGTGAAGGCTCAGAAACAGGAAGAAAAAAAACTCCAAATTAAATAAAATTTAAAAAAAACCCCACAACAAAACAAGCAAACAAACAAAACCACCCAAAACCCTCCAGTTGTCAGTGGGGAAACTGAGGCACAGAGCAGTGACGTGACAGAGACAGTGAAATAGTGAATTGGGTCCTTTTCTGGGTCCTAGAACAGTGAACTGGACCCAGGAGTTCAGCTTTATCATCTCCTGCTCTGGCCTCAGGGTTCTCTCCCAGTCCCAGGGGTGGTGAAGGCTCAGAAACAGGAAGAAGAAAAAAAAACAAACCCAAAAAAGACCCCAACCAACCAAAAAACACCCCAAAAACCATATGGCAGGGAGGGAAAACAGCTAGAAACTCTGTTCTTGCAAGACTGGGCTGTTGCTGAGCCCCTGCCCTTCCCAGCCTGGCCATGAGACACATCTCTGACCACCTTGTTCTCCAGTTCTCCCAGGTGGAATGTTCAGGGCTCCCAAGCCCCCTCCCTTTTCCACTCAGGTTTCATTCCAGGCAACACTGGCTCTGTGTTTCTCCTTCCCCCTCCTTCCTCATGGAGCCTCAGCCCCACCCTGCTTTTCAAAGACTTGGGGTTGTTCAGAGCAGTCATTCATCTTCTGGGCCTCACACACCTTTGGTGTCCTGCAGCTTTGCACAAACCCAGCATTGTTCCTCCTCCAGCTGGAAAGGGCTTTTGGTGAAGGACTCTGCTGGGTCCTGCCTCCAGGGGAAGCTCTGAGCTTAAGTGCATCTCCTGAGCTGGGAACAGCTTGTACAGATTGGGAACTCACCCATAGCTCCCTCCTTTCCCATCTCTGCTGGATTGAAGTCAAATTCAACAGCTGGTGGCTCTTTCTGATGTCTTGGACTGTCCTCCCTTCCTCTGTCCCCGTACCCCTTGAGCTGACCCTCAAAGTGCAGTGGTTTTTTTCAGGTGGGCTGCAAACAGCAGAGTAGAGACTCCCCATCTCAGGTCCTCTGGCACCTCTGGGGGCCTTGTCTGTTTTGCATCTTCCAAGTAAGTCCCTTAGAGGGTGTTTTTGAGCAAGAAGCAACAAGAAAACCCCTGTGCCCTGGAAGGGAACCTCTGAAATGGAGTCTCCATCTCTGGAGATGTTCAAAA